CCTTAGTTCGACAAGAAGCCGTGCCTGATAACTAACCACTACGTGACGCCTTCCTCAGACCGCGTACTCGGTGACGGTGGCTCCGAATCGTCAGTAGAGCACGCATCAGATGCTCGCCAGCTGGGGAGGTACCCATACTCTCGGCAAAGCCCATCGCGCACGCCCCATATCCTCTCGGGTGCTTCCTAAAACAATGATGGAGTAGCTCATACAAGGCACGATCAAAACACTCAGAAATTTCACACGACAAGAATTGGACCCCGCTGAGTCAATAAGGCAAGCCTCCACATTTTCCCAGTCCTCAGCAACACGACCTAGGGATAACTTTTTCAGGCGAATTCGAATGCCTCGCCTTTCGGGTAAACCACGGAGAGCTTGAACGAGGAGTGTTTAACGGTGCGATAGTAATATTGTAGGTGTAGAAATTCTATCGGCATCCACATACCAACTTTCAATCCAAACTTATACCACACCAAATGTTGTCATAAACTATGGCAGACACCAACGAGCCGTGTTAAGAGGCCTTACCACGCCTTCCCATCACGACCCCAGGAAATTTTGAGCATACATTTCTACCCAAATTCGTATCTAAGCTCTCAAAACTAGTGAGAGAACTCCCGAGCTCGGGTGAGAAGAACAAACATATATCCGACCACTCCATTACCCATTCTAGAAAATCGTCCTTATCGCGCGGTAGCGCTGCCAGCTTCGCCGAGCTCAACGTACCAGCAGCAGATATCGCCTCCAGCAAAGCGCTGTAGTTAACCTCGGCAAAATCATACCTACCAGTTGCAATCAAAGGAGGCGAATTAAAACTAAAACGATAACGCTTTATTCACTTGCCTTACATGGTAGCTTCAACGATATTCCCAGCCTCCCTGCACTCTTCCGGCCACACCTCGGGACTATCATCCAATACCACAAACCACCGCCGCCGCAGCTCTTCCGTACCAACTGCTGAGTCCGCATTGATTATCTAATCAAAACAGCTCAGCCGAGACAACTGGTCGCAGACAAAACTACAAAGTCGGGATCTTTCTCCAAGGGCGTCATATTAGAAGGCTCATCCTCCCTAGACACGAGTCGGCCCTGAGGAACTCCAATCCTTCACCCACGCATAGCCGCTTACTAACCTTAATGAGCTCTCCGGAGGGATCTAACATTTTTTTGATAACTTCCATATACCGTCGACTGCCCTTAGTGTATATCGATAATACCACCCCGCAGCCAGTTTTGGAAACCTGAGCAAAACGCTGCTAATGAGAAGCGTGTGTTACAAGGGTTACATATATGTTACTATAGGACTTTCACCCGTGATATGAAAAACACTAGTGAAAAACACATTTCACATTTCATCTCGAGAAAAACGCATGTGAGCAGTGAATAACATGGCGAATAGGTGATATGGAGTGATTCGTCCAGCGTAGTTCGCAAAGTGTTTTTTCAATTGAGTTCATATCGCGAATATCGTCTTTTTCACATGGAGTATAACACCACTTCACGTAGAACGGGTGAAACTCCATCGTATGAACTATTGTTATTGTTAATCATATTAATACACATTTGAGTTTCACCCGTTTTACGCGAAGTGGCGTAAAACTCGGTGAAAAACGCGATAATCGCGGTGATATGCAGTAGTAGTGAAATATGTTTTTCACTAGTGTTTACTATATCAGACGTGAAACTCCATTTAACATAGGATCAATAGTAATATCAGTTGAAACCATTCATCCTTACCAGCTCCCTTATAAACGCCCTGGCATGCGGACGTATTTTCGTCAACACTTTGACGTCGCTAATTACACATAGATATAACTCCGGCAAACCTTCCCTGAGACAAGGCAATGAGCACCACCCGATAGAGCCTTACTACTCATCTTTATAGACCTCTTGCAGAATGGGAGTGACACTCTCAGACTGCGATGGATCAGCCTTGCCGATCTCGTAGCTGTTCACCATGGTCCGATCGAGATCTAAGATGACGTCGAGTCGATGCTGCTGAGCTGTGTCCTTCCCGGAGCCTGCGGGAGGGCGGGATTATCTTCCAGAGATGTAAAGGCAAGCACTACCCCTCCCCTCCATTACACTTGGACAACCGGTAGAGGCCTCAGAGTCGGAGGCGACATCTGTTGAAGCTGTTCGTCGTGACTCGGAACGCGGCCTTCGACGCCAACCTAAAAAGGCACTCAGTTGGGCCTATTCTGCATCTTGCCAGGTCGAACCTTGAGATACTCTCCAACAGTGTAAAGAAATATGCACATGGTCAACTACATGTGTTGATAACAACAAGGAAAATTCTGATGAAATTTTCGGGAAATTATTGCTGTTTTCTGCAAACTTCTACCCGAATCCGTACAGACTTGTAAAATTGATCAAAAATTCCTGAGCTCAGCTGTGAGAATCGATCATATATTCCAAAGCTCCAACCCCGCTTGTTAGGGTGACATATACAAAATCCAAGGAAGACAAGTTTAAGGGTAAACCCGAAACCCGACAAGGCAACCAGAAACCCAAACTGTTAAAAGCGAGCGACAGACCTCCTTAGATTTTGTAATTTACCTCCGCTTACTACCTGTCAGATCTACATGCTCCTTCTGCTCGTCACCGCTTTCCGCATGCATCGCATAGCGTCCTTCAAGACGCAACGCGTTATAAACTTCGGGAATCTCCAGCGTATCGTGGGCCCAACCATGAACCGGCAGGCATTGCCTGTCTGGTGACAGGCCTTCTGATACGACCATTGATCGGTCTTTTAACATACACTTGAATGATGAATAAATTTTTGTTCAATAACGAATCTCATCAACATTGAGAAAATGCGAGAGTCCAAGTTTTCAAGATTGATACCTTTACAGTGATCCTTCTCAGAGGAAAGTCGTAGTAGACTAAGCACTCAACAAGTGCCGAAGTGATGAAAGCCGTAAAGCTTCTCATGAAGATTCAGCTACGTTCGTACGCAAATTCAATGAGCGGAGCGAAGTGATTTTCTTTCCATGAAATGGAACAACAGGGGGAAAGTTCCCAGATGCAAATGAGTTCATTCACAGTATTAGTTTTTATAAAATCTATGACGTCCTCCATTGCTACATATCAGTCCGCAACGAAGGCGTTTTCTACGCACGATGGAGTTGACGAAACCATCGAGAAATTGAACAGAATTCTCGACAATGTTAACGAGAAGGTCACTGGTCCGGCATATGGCGGTCCGACTCGACTGCTCCCCACCCTTTATCTTGGTAAGCACCTCGGTCGACGTGTGATAACAACCGATCGATCGGCCTCAGGTAACGAGATACAAGCCCGTAATACCACTCGTCTGAGAACTCTTGGTATCACTCACATCATCAACATGGCCAGCAGCTACATCACCACTGACCAGAAGTATTACGGCTCCGACTTCGCTTATTTGGGCATCCCTTGCGAGGACACCGACAGCTATGATATCATTTCTGCCTTCGACAAGTGCAAAAAGCATTATTATGACGCCAAACGCAGCGGCGGAGCGGCACTTGTACACTGTGTGATGGGAATCAACAGGAGCGGGTGAATCCCCACAGCTGAGCGTCCTCACGAAAGCGTTCACTTTCAGGTTCTGCGCCATTGCTTTGGTAGCTCTGGACATGAACGTCGACATTCTGCAAGCAGCATCCTATGTTCATGATCGTCGCGAGTTCCTCCTATCTAATCGCGGTTTCCGTCGGCAACTGGTGCAGTGGGCCGCCAGAGAAGGAAAACTGCCCCAGTGATGATTTTTATTGGCGATTTTCGGTAGCTGGGTTCCTTTTTTAATCCGGTATTTATCTTGTATAGGCATTTTTGATTTCACTTGTGCTCCCTGTTCGTCATCATGTGGCATCATGTTGGGTTTGAAGTGGAGCTAGTTTTGTCACGAACGACCAACCTAAACCTTGATAGCAGCCAAGTACGCAGCGCATAATATAACTCTTCGGATAAGGTGTGTGAGAGAGTTATGACTTCGAACCGTAGATATGAATCTTTTCACTGCTGTTGACAGCTATAAGTGGCTTCCTTATTAGATTCGTATCAATGAGCATCTCGTCAGTCGTAGAAATGAAACACGTCCTCAGGAGTCAGCGAACTTTCCACGACCTTTTGAGGTAAACTGACTTTTGGTTTAAATGTTCTCTAGGTGCCTATCATCTTTGCGCAAGCCACAGACTTCCCCCCCGACCACTTTCTATCTACTCGGGCCACATTTCGCGTTGGATGACAATTCGGGTTTCTGGTTTCGGTGAGATCAGTTCGGCCTTGGATAACAATTGAGACCAAGGTGCTTGTCCGGAACCGTCCCAATGTCCGCTGACTTGTCGGGGGAAAAATCATGCCGAACCTGTCGCCAATCTCGTCGAGCAGTTCATCGACATCATCGACGAGTTGCTTATGATGACTTGCGAGAGTGAAATGATCATAGTAAGCCATCAACAGCAGTCCTTCGACATAACAGCCTTCGCTTGGATAACAGTTCGAGTTTCGGGTTGTCCTGTCGGGTTTCGGGTTTCTCTTTCTCCGTTCTTACCCGCGGTCCTTTTTCTGGGGAGTCCTCTGGGAGATTCTTGTGGCCGCCGAGATCCATTTGTGCCCTGCAAAGGAAATTTTTTGCTAGTCGACTAATACCAATCGAACTCATGAGACCCAAAAAAGCGAGGACGTGTAGTGCACTTGAAGACCATCAGAACTAGATCAACGCAACAGAGGGCGTGGTCGGGACTGGGAGCTAAAACGCTCAATACAGCGAACCAAATGTACAGTTGAGCTACGCTGACCATATTAAAATTGATGCATGACGTGCTTGCCGTGCGCAAGATGGATGTTGCAAGAAAATGGTAACAAAAATACTACGTTATCGTCTAATATCAAAACAATCACAGAACGACCCTGCTGAGGGCCATTGAGGGGGGCAGTCAGGCGGGTGAATAGAAAGTAAAGCTTCCGTTGCTACACCCGCATCCAACTCGCCCACTGGAACACCGAGCTGCGCAGCTCGCTGCAGCAGAATTTTATTGGCCAGTACGTCAATTTTGGACTGACTCGCCCTATGACATACCGCATCGAATGCCATATGGTCCTTGTTGGCTACCTCATCGAAAGTATCATGATCAAGGTGGCATTTCACTCTTTTACCTCTGTAGATGCATCCTTCCCCACGACGCCACATTGGCACCAAGCCGAAATAATCTGGCCATGAACACCAGTCGCACCACTCATTATACTCCTCGTTGTCACCAGTGTTCAACTGGCCGTCAACTTCAGAGCACAAGTCGGGGCGTCTCCTACAGTAATCTACCATAGGCTGCGACGACGGTCCGTATCCATCCTCGATCGACCGAGGCAACAGCGAACCTCCGTACACTTTCGCAACAGCTTTCTGTAGCAGAGAAATGACAGGCTCTTCGCGAAGACGGCCAAATACATTCCACAGCTTGCGGGGGTAATAGAGAACGTTCAGATAGGCGGCCCCAACGGAAAATTGGACATCCTGATAGACGCTCAGCAGCCGTTCAGGGTCGCCCATTGTCATGAACTCGCCAAGATTGATAACAACGCCACCTGGTCGAAGTAGATGCGCCCTGGTCATGCCAGTGCCAACACTGCTAACATAAATGTCAGACTGGGAGAATACCTTCAGCTGCTCACGAAAGGAGTACTGCTCCCACCGTATGAACGATATGGTGCAGTTCAACGTTTTTGGCGAGTTCAACGCGATCCTCTCGAACATCACTCGATCGCCTTCAGTAAACCTTTTATTATCAATGATAACCCCACGACATTCTTTCGCGCGTTCGAGTCGGTCGGAGAGATGCGGCGTAACCAATTTGTATTGTCTCAGCAGCCGAGCCGAGAAAAGATAAAGGGCGTTCTCGAAGGTGTACGAGCCGGGTAAAGTGGCATCAGTCTTGAAACTCCTATGGGCCATTCGTCTCGACCCTACGACCAGCTTCTCAAATCGGTAAACGGAGCTCCTGAGCTCCTTGAGCCTGCTATACTGACCTCCACCGAAAATGGGGGCAAGCTCGTCAATCAAGTAACGCTGTCCACCCGGCCCATCATCTAATCTTAGGACAATATTGAATGGTGTGGTACCATAACCAAATCGGATGAGGGATACATATAAGGGGTACAGACCGTCATAAAGGAGATGGCCGTGATTGTGAGGGTATAATGAGTAGCCGTAAGCTGTTACACCAGCCATGATAGTGAGCGGCCTTGAAGACCATGAATTCCGTAGCCAATCTTCAGCTTCTACTGCAGTGGGGAAATAAAGCACTGTAGGCGTGAATGTTGATCCTTTAAAGTAGTCTGAGCAGTTCGACATGAGCAGTCTGATGCCACTGATATCACCCCTGACACCATCGAGTGGGCCGGCCACCAGCTGGTCGCTGCCAACATCAATACTCACAGGTTCCTGCTTATACGCCGCTGACCTTATTCGCCCGGTCAGCCTCGTCCTCGATGGCAAGAGAATAACAAATTGCTCTTCAGAGGTAAAGTAATAAATATTTTCAACTAGACAACTTCTATTCACCTTGTGACCCGTGCATTGTATTCGCGACCACAGATCCTTCTCCCTCATTGAAACCTCCGGGAAAAGGAAGTCCACTGTAGCAGGTCTGCCACTCTTCTCGTCCACAAGGGCAGCGCCCCAACGAGGTACTCGGAAAAGTGGAGTCGGATCAACGGACACTCCCATACCGTTTGGACTCTCCTGCCGCGCAGACTGCGAATCTAAATGCAGTATATTCCTCTGCAAGTCATGCGGGCTGATCTGGGAAGCCTCTAGCACAGTAGTGACGATAAGTGAGAGAAGACACATAACAGATAGTAGTAAGTATTTCCAATCAGCATCAGCGGCAGTCCGCACCAGACGCTCTGGACATGGTCCCCGGGACTGCGCCATGGCAGTGAAAACACTTTAGCAACGATGGACTTCATCCCAGGAGAAACACCAACGTTCCAACAATGCAGAAAGCGTGATAATGCAATTACCGTCATCCGAGTGAGTATCATGACGAACACGAAGAGAGGACAGAACAAAAGGATGACCTCAGCGTATGCTACCAAAACATGTTGCTCCATGAAGCCTAACAAATTCATATTGCAGGCGCTAGTCCTCTTGCCTGATGCCCCTGTGAAGCCCCGAGCGACACCCGGCGACGACGAGGCACCTACGGCCATGCTACTTGTGTGGCTTTTTCTGATGCTGTGGTCGGTCGCAATGAACCTGGCATCATCCGGACAGGGACTTTCAACAACTGATCACACTCTTGATAGAAGTCCGAAAGTCCCATGTTCTCCAAAAAAGACTTACAGCGAATGAGGAGCTCACCTTCGTCGCAAGAT